TACTCAATAACAATTTCCAGAGCAAAGATACATCTCTTTCAAAAGTGGCCTTAAAATTTTTAGGTTCACAGTTGAATTAATACAGGTTTTTCTGGTTACAGGATCGGTGATTAAGGCTCTGCAAAAAGTTGGAGGAAAGAATGCATAACCAACAGCTAGAAACTAGTAATTCAAGTCCTAAGCAGATATTTGACCTAAATAGTTAGCTAGTTAGCATTCCAACAATACTTGATGAAATAATGGATTAGCAAATCTTTTTAACCATTATAACTATTACACATCTGAAGGCTGGGACCCTACTTTAGTAGTGTGGTGGTCTCTGATGAGTACAGAGAGCTGCAGCTTTGGGGAAACACCACCTGGTATAAGATTCTCCATTTTCCTTGGAAAGCTGGTCTTTATGAAATATCATTACTGAAGTCTTGCATCAAGAGGCAGGCAAGAATGTAAGGGGAAAGTGAAGCTAGTAACAGGGCTAAGAATTTGAACAAGATTCTGCTTAACTAGGACTCTCCCCGTCTTAATAGCACTGTACTAGAAGGGTTATTGGTGCCCAGAAAAGAGGTGGGGTTGGGTTAGAGAGACGGTTCAGTGGTTAAGAGCACTGGCTGCTCTTGGAGAGGACCCAGTTTTGATTATCAGAACCCACACAGCAGCTAACAACTATCTGTAACTCCAGTTCCAGGGGATCCAACAGTCTCTTTTGACCTTTGCAGGCATTGCAGAGCACAGATGCACCTACCTACATGCAAACAATACACTCGAATACATAAAATAATAAATATTTTTAAGATGGCACTATAAATATAAAATGCACGTATCTGGCATACTTAAATACTAACTATGCCAGTGCCCCAGCTTCAGACCCTGTATAGTCTGAGTAAAAAGTCATTTTGTACATATCATCAAGGTTTTTCATTTCGTTTTGGTTTTGGCTATTAGGGTAAAACTAACCATACAGAAAGTCATACTTAGAAATGGAAGTTTGGACTAACTTTATAAGCCTAACCCCAAAGTTAACATTCATTAAAATTAAACATGAAGCTGGTTTACTACCCATGTAACAATAAAACCCTGCTCAGTGGGGCTGGAGAGATGGCAGAAGACCCAGGTTTGAATCCCAGCACCCACATGGTAGCTAACAACATTCTGTAACTCCAGTTCTAGGGAATCTGATGCCCTCTTCTGGCCTCCACAGGCACTGCATGATACAGATGCACTTACACACATGCATGCTTAATACTCATACACATTAAAAAACAAACAAACAAACAAACCAAAAAAAACACAACAACACTGCTCAGCAAGGCAGACAAAAGCCATGGACAGTCCCTTTCACAAGGGCTGTCCTGAGGAAGGGTGCCTTAACTGCACAGGACAGAGAGGTATGGAGGGGCGACCAGCACAATTTTAGGTCCCTGAAGGACCCTAGAAGAGGAAGGAAAACACCACTGCTTCCTTCCTCCCTTACCCCAATCAAGGAGTAGCGTCCTTAAGTCAAATTCATATTAGGCAAAAGTTTAAACGTATAAAAAATAAAAAACTGAACTAGCAAGATGGCTCAGTGGGTAAGGGCACTTGCTGCCAAGCCTGACTACCTGGGCACCCATGTGGTAGGAGAGAGCCAATTCTCACAAGTTTTCCTCTAACTTCTCCACTCACATCCTGTAGCATGCACACATGCATGAACATACACGAAATCATAATATTTCAAATTTAAAAATATTTAAATATAGGCATAAGGAGAATGACGAAATCCATGAGATAAATCAGACTACCCAAAGGCTAACGTAATTAGCAGTGATGGGGATGTGGTTGACAACCAAGATGGCTCTGATAAGAGCATGCAGAAAAGAAAGTGGATGACGTCTGTCCTGGGTGTTCATAGACCTTGGAGAGTGAGACTAGAAAATAAAAGGACACATAATGTGAAAGAAGGCTACAGAAAATAATCTCCAAATGGTTACAGTCTTGCTAAAGGGCATCTGTACCATAAACTAACTGTATTTAACTAGGCACTGCCACAGACTACCTACCATCACTAACCAGGGTATCCAGAGAACCAATGGATTAGTCAATCACAGGATAGATAAAAGCAGCTCAGTAACATGAATGTGAAAACAGAAGAGGGGAGAACATTTAGTATGAGCCAAAGGTTGGGTTCCTACCTCAGAATATTTTCCTCTGTAGCTACTTAAGCTTCGCTCCATTCTTCGCAATCGTTGAATCAACTGTTCTCTGTTAAGACTGTCTGAATTCCCCGTGGCATCTTCAGCCTCACTCTCCATATCAGAAGGTGGGTCAAAGGTGGCAGCAGAACAATCCAGGTCAAGTTGATTCAGGGACTCTCTGGAAGATGTTCGTACCAAAGACTCTTTAGAAGATCGGAACAGAGATTCCTTTATTGGACTTCTAAACAGAGACTCCACTGAAGGCACCCGGAGCTGAAGCTTCTGTGCAAAAGTCTGTGTGTCACCTGACTGAAACCAAAGCACAACAGAATATTTAAGGTAAAATACACACATTTTGATTTTTATTACTCCCTGTCATCAGCAATAGGCTGGTAAAAACTCTTAACAAATTCCATTTATATTCCTGGTATTTTACATAAAACATTTGTTTTCTTAAAAAACAAAAGACTGTTTGTTTTTTAAATTTTTCTATTACATTTATTTATTCACTTATGTATATAGGGTCTGGGACAGAAAGGTTGGAGGACAGCTTGTGGGAGTCAGTTCTTTCCCTGCACTATGTGGCTCCCAGAGATCAAACTCAGGCTGTCAGGTTTTCATGGCAAGCACCTTTACCAATGAGCCATCCTGCTAGTCCTGATACTAAGTTTGGGGTACCGAATACAAAAATGTATTTGCATGATGAATATATCATACATTTCTACAGGGATTAAATTGTGGTACTGTCACATTTCAATTAGTGGGCTTTTTTAAATTTAGCTTTTCCAAGACTCAACAAAGTTTCTTAACAGATACTATAAAAGAAAATCTACAGATGGGATCTTTTGGTATAGTACTGTCTTCCTGACAGAATACGCCTTTGTCCTTTCTTCGGTCCTGCCTAGAACAAAGATGTAATTCCTGAAAGCCAACCTGCATTATGAAGACAAAGAGAAAGTGACAAGGTTGTGGAGATAAAAAGGAGTGGAGGATAAGAAGTTACAAGCAGAAGGATCCCTGTGAAGCACATGGGTATAACAGCACTACCCTAACAGGGCTGTTGTGTGGATTTGGTGAGTGAAAACTCTAAAGCCCTTAGCACAGTGTCTTATATGCATAAGCCCTAAGCTAGTCTCCTGCCCCTATGCCTGCTGCATACACCCTCAGCCGAGACTTCATGCTCTTTTAGGACAGAAAGAACAGGATCCATATTCTCTTTCTATAGCCTTGCATAGTGCTGTCTATAAACTGGGTACACAGTACACAATTTTTTAGATGAATCTTAGCCTTTAGTGATAACACTTAGCACTAAAACCAAATAATCACATTTATCTCCACTGGTAGTGATGGTCACTGTTATCATTTTTTCTTTCTTTCTTGGAAAGAATTTTTTAAAAGTCACTTGAACGTTAATTCACAATTAATTTTTTAAAAATAAAGATAGCCTTAATTTTCTAGTAGTAAACCATTATGCACTGGAACCAGCTTTAAAAGGAATACTACTTCCTTCATAATCTTTTCCAAACTATTGTTGGCTATTTTGGTAACCTTTTATAACTATAAAGCCAAGATTGGAGTTTCAGAGTTTTCACTTGATTGACATTAATTTTTAAAATGACAATTTTAAATTGACTGCTTTGATTTAAAACCTTTTTCAAGAACAAACCCATATTTGCTAGATATACTGTATTAAATGTTTAGACAGCACTGTTTCAATGTAATCAAATGCTAAAAATTAATAATACTCTGAAATAATTTATTTTTCAAAACTAACATTAGTAACAAACCTGAGGAGCAAAATGTTCACTTCTATTAACACCGTCTGGAGATTTTGTAGCTTGAGTAGATGCATTCTAGGAACAAGAAGAAACATCATAAAAAAGAGAACAGAAAATTGAAGTTGTACAACTGTTAAAAACAAAGTGCCAA